GAGGGAAAGTGCTCCCATCTGTTGTGCGTCGACAGCGGCTCTTGCAAGTGTTTGGGGACGTAGAAGTCCTCGGATCTGGTGACGGAAAAGGCGGTTTGGATGGGGACCGACTCGTCAGATGGTCGGGCATCCTCCTCCGTTTCTCTTGTTTCACGGGCGTCGCGACGAGGAGCGTCGTTTCGCCGGTACTGGGCGAGGCTCCCCCCTTTTATGAGGGTCTCGATGGCGTCCTTGAGGTGAACGCAGTCTTCAGTCAGATGACCATGGCTCCTATGGTACTGACAGTATTTGCTCCTGTCCACCCCGGGCTTGGCAGGAGCTGGTCGGGGGCGCTTGACGCCGCCATCTTTGAAATCTGTATTGGCACACTCTGCCAAGATGCGCTCACGGGAAGCTGTGAGCGGAGTGTACTCTGTGAAATGCCCCGAGGGCCCCCTCTGTTCTCGGACGTCCCGGGGTTTGTCGTCCTTCCTTTTTTCCTCGATCCGTCGAGGAGGGATGGCTTCCTGGCGCGGGTTGCTATTGGATCCGCGAGTTCTGGGGTCACGGGCTCTGTTGGCCGCTTCCCTTTCCTCATAATCCATGTAGGCGCTGGCCTTCTCAAGGAGAGCATCGAACGTTCGGGGTGGTCCAATGCCCACAACCTTCCTGAATTCTGTGTCGGGGAGGAGCCCCTCTCCAGCAGGTATCTTTTCATGTGGTCCGCGCAGGAGACCTGGATGGCTTCACGGTTGAAGCGGTTGATGAATTCTCTCAAGGTCTCATCCTGCCTCTGGACGATGGCCTCGAGTGCCGCTTCGGTCTTTGGATGTCACCGTGACACGGTGAACGAGCTTATGAATTGTTTTTTCAATTTTCGCCACGAGGTGATTGACCCCGGGGCAAGACCCTTGCACCAATCCATTTCCGCTTTCCTGAGGGTTGTGGGGAACAACCGGCATTTCATGGGTCCCCCAACGTTATGGTTGTGCAGCATAGCCTCGAACCCTCCTATGTGATCGACCGGGTCGGCGACTCCATCGTATTCTTTCAGATGTGGAGGCTTCTCCACGCCCAGGGAATGGGCACCTCCATGATGGCTTGTGATAGGGGACCACGGGGGTCGTCCTCATCACTTTGCTCCGGGGAGAGGGACGGGGTCCTGAGGTATTGTCGGACACGACGGCCCTGATCGTGCTGGGAGTTCCTCGAGCGGTGCGCCCGTTGACACGTCCCTCCATGTCCGTCTCCAGGATGCCTTTGTTCTTGCCGTAAAAGGCCGTGGTCGCGCCCTCCGGCTTCAATGATTGGCTCTCTCTCCAAGGCGGGCCGCCTCCCCGGTGGTCGGGGCGACGGACTTTGGGAGATGCCTCTGTCTTGTCTCCGCGGGGGAGATCAGAGACGTTCCTCGATTCTTCGAGGAGGTGGGGATTGAGGCCTCCTGTGTCTCCTCGGGGGCCTTCTGTCTTCCTCTAGTGCTCTTAGTCTTTCCCCTTGGGCAAATATGAGGTAGTTGGTCTGGTTGATTGCTGCGAACAGTGTCTTGGTCGTGGCGTCTGCTCTGGCGGGGACAGGAACTTCATGGAATTGAGAGGCTTGATGGTTCGGGGGAACCGGATTATCTTTTTCGATTCGAGGGGGGAATGATGAAGACGAAGTCGTGGCTCCATCCTGGTAGTTGGAGATTCCGGGGATGTTGCCACCGAGAGCAGTAACATGGGCTATGACGCCGGTGTTGTTATCGGCGAGGTTATTGCAGGCCACGACGACACGGGTGTTCTGATTGTCTTGAATCTGGTAAGCCATAACGGTGGAAGATGGTTTTACCTTTTGGTCTTTGAAGGTTTGTAAGACGGGGAAGCTTAGTTTTCCATAGACGGCGCCACTGATCTTACCGGATCAGAATTGGGCCATCACAGCTGGCTCGAACTAGATTTGAATGAGATGGGGGGTACCTGCAAGACACTCCGATGATAAAATGAGAGACGGAATGGGAAGGGAAATAGTATGTAGGTGCGTAACGAATGAATACATGACCCTCTTGAAGTAGAGGGTATTTATAGCCCCCAGCGTTGGGCCAATGTCCGTTTATTGGGCCGACCAGAGCTGGCCCAATAAAGGGACTTCCAGGTTCTACGTGTGTAGTGGGGACTCGCACGTGGTCCCCTTCCTGGATGGTGCTCCGCGAAGAATGAGGAAGAACGATGACGCAGTCTTCCCGGAGCTATAAGGATTCCGCAGCATCCGGAGGGGACTGAGTTTGCCTTACGGGGAGGATGCTCGAGCAAGGCTCGAGTTGGAGTGCCCTCGGTCGGGAACGCTGCTCATTGTGGGTAGCGGCGGGCATAACCGTTGTGGCCTGTGACTGAGTATGCTCGGGGCGGTCTGATTCCGAGCATAGCTCGAGGAACTGCTTGGATTTGGGTCTTTACTTGTATTTTGGGCCAAGACGGACCCAATCCAGAACACTTTCCATATTTCAATTGATACTTCTATATTTTATTCTTGTTCCGTATTTCAATGAGACTTGGTGAAGATACTATTGGACAATGACCAATACCTTTTGATGGATTCACACCTTCTGTAAGGTTGCTCTTTTGGCAGAAACATCTACATGAACATGTTTCTTTCAACATTACATTGAATCAATTTTTTGCACTACAAGAAGCAACCTCAGAAGGCCAATATTTATTTATTTTTCAATATAGTCATATTAACCATTTGATTTTGTTATGCATGAGGTTAAACAAAAGATTTTGAGAAATTTGTGTAGATGAATTGTATTATCTTTATTTTCGATACTTTTATATGTTTGATAGATTCATTGCAACAACTCTAGAAGCTGCTTACAAAGAAGTAGGATCAATGAACATGAAAGTTATGATTGATTGTATTGATGTTATTAATTTTATACTGATTGTGTTTATGTTGGTTGTCTGAGAAAATATTTATATGCTCAAAAATATAGATTTATATGGTCATTGAAGTATTAAAATGATAAATGAGTTCTAATTAACTCAGATTTAACCCAAAAAATATAGATTTATATGGTCATTGAAGTATTAAAATGATAAATGAGTTCTAATTAACTCAGATTTAACCCATAATTGAATTGATGAATGAGTTCAAATAACTCAAATTTAATAACAATTTTTTTTAAAAAGTAAAATTTTGAAAAATGCAATATTTGACCCATCTAATAAACAAAAAAAAAGTAAATTTGTGAAAAAAAAGGTATTTGAACATATTTAAAATTGATCCATATTGATTCAATATGTAATAAAAAATTGAATTGATTTTAAAATGGATCCAATAATTTTTAACCCAAAAAATCCGAATTATGAAATCAAATTTAAAAAATACTAAACTCTGAATTAGATAAAAATAATAATGTATTTTTCAACTGGGGTTGGGTGAGGATTTAACATTCCACCTCTATATTTATATATGACACCTTTTCATTTTATATGTTTTTTCCATTATACTCTTATATAAAGTTATTAAATTTTAAAAAATATGTGTCTCTATTTGAAATTTCAAAAAAATATTGAATTTTTTGAAATTTTCATGAGTTTTTATTGGAAATTTTAAAAATATATCAAGAAAATTTTGAAAACATTGCCGAATTTTTCGGTATAATCTTTAGAATTTTATTTTTTGTACAACTGAAAATTTGAAATTTTCGGTAGTACAACAAAATTATTATTTTTTTCAAAAAATTATACTAGAAATTTCATTGTTGACACCCGCTAATTTTTTCGTAGGTGATCGTATTTGACTAGAAGAGATTGTGAAAGTCCACGAGCTTCGAGCCAAACAACGGTTGTATGTGAAGTGAGGGTACCTGCAAGACACTCCGATGTCAAAGTGAGGTTCAAAATTATGCAAGCAAGTGTGAGAGATTGAATATCTGACCCTCTCAAGTGAGTGGGTATTTATAGACCTCGGCGTTGGGTCAAGATCTCCATCGTTGGACTTGGCAAGCAGACCCAAAGTAGAGACTGCCAGGTCCTACGTGCGTAGTGGAGGCCAGCACGTGGTCCCCAATCTGGATGAACTCCTCCGAACTATGAATGTGGTCTTCTCGGAACTAAGATACGAAGGTGTTGAGAGTCAGCCCTACGAGGAGGATGCTCGCGAGGTACTTCTGTCTGTCGTGGATCCTCCCCGCGAGCTGTGCGATTGTTCCCGAGGATTTGTCCTGTTCGACAAGAAGAGTGTGGTATGCTTGTAAGGCCCTCCTGATCATCTTCGGCCCTCCTCATCAGTCTTGGAATTGTCCCCTTAAGACAAAGCCATGTCGACCAGAAGGACGAGACTACTGCCCAAGCCAGTCGAGACAGTCGTCGTTAGCACACTACCTCACTTAGCACAGTCGGATTGGACCTTGTACGAGGTTTGGGCCAAATACAAGCCCAATCCAAAACAATAGGTAATTTAGGAATTAAAAAAACACCATATTTAATTTGAAGGATGTTATGTTAAATCCTCAACTTAGACCAGTTTAGAGTTTTAGCCCATACCCAAACAGGCCCGGTCACATGTCCATCCCTAATATATTCCTTTTAGTATATCTTTTCATATAAAACATATAGTTAAACGACACATACTTCAAATAAAGGTCAAAACATTGATCAAATCAGCACCATAAGCATATAATAAAACAGAACTTTAAAAAAAAAGATATGCTATGTTGCTTTGACAAATCACAACAGCATCCCATTAAATATCGAAACTAGTACAAATTCAAAGGAACCATATCTTCCCCTCCCCCTCAAAAGATATACATGATAAAGAGGAAGAAAATTAGCATAGACACAACAAGAGAAATAAGTGTCATATCTTCGATCCAATCTATATCTTCGTTCCAATATATTTTACCACAACATCTATAGATTGTATTTATCCATTGATAGAACTGAATTGGAATTAAACCATTCTCATGCACATCAATTCTCAAGATTTTTAATTTCTGCCTCATCACGTCATGCAAATCATCATCATCCACAAGATTTATCATGTCACTATCTTCATCAAAATAAGTCAGATTGAAATTTTTATCCGCGGTAAATTTGAAAGTAGACCTAATCTTAGACGTTAAACTAACCATGTTAAGAATAATTTGATTATTCTCATCCAAATCAACATCGATGCGTCTCCAGGCATTTTCAAATTTGACCTGTACAAAAATAATGAGTTACATTATATCAAACTAGAAGCAAAATTAGAAAGGCATGATAAAGAGGAAGAAAATTACCATAACCACAACATCAGAAATACCAGCAGAAATAGGTGACATATATTTGTTCCATCCAGTTATATCAAAAGCTTCATCGATTGTATTTATCCATTGTGAGAATTTATTTGGAAATAATCCATCCCCATGCACGTCAATTCTCAAAAAAATTATTTGCATACTTATCGCGTCATGCAAATCATCATCATTCACAAGATTTTTCACGTCGCCGTCTTCAGCAACATAGGTCATATTGAAGCTTTCATCGGCAGTAAAGTTGAACATAGACCTAATCTTATCTCTTAAACTAACCATGTTAAGATTAATTTGATAACTTTCATCCACAGGAACATTGATGCGTCTAAAGGAGTTTCCAAATTTCACCTGTACAAAAATATTAAGTGACATTATATGAAGTACATCCATGATCATCAAAATAAAATAAAACTAGAAGCAAAATTGAAATCGGAACCTTTATTAGCAAAGCAGAGACCATAGCTATGATATGAAAAGCGGTAAAGTGAAAAGGAAGTGAAGAATATTGAAACCCTAACAGCTAGCCGCAGTATACACTATCTCAAGCTGAGTGAGATATATATGAAGTTCATATTTTAGTAATTTAAATGCATTAGATTATTATAAAGTATGTTGAGCAAAAATATGGAGTATTCAGCCATTTAGAGGGGGTGAACATGAAGTATTCAGCTGTCTAGAGGGGGCGAAAATAAAGTTCGCATTAGTTATTTGACTTTTGCAGTTCGTTACTCTTCTTGATCATTGGAGCAAGTAACCATAATTGAACGTGAAAATCTATCGTGTTTCAGTTCAATTCCATACAACTCCAATCTCATTTCTTAAAGAGGTTGAAACTCCAATTTTCATCTCCAACAAGTATGGTTGGATTCAAGGCTACCTGATCCGCCACTGCAAGGAAAACTGTCATTGTTGCCTTAGCAGCAAATAATCAGTCGCCTCTTCCTTTTCCATGAAAAGTCGCATATCTTGGAGCAATAATTTCTTCACATCTGAATCCAATGCGAGCTTCACAAGTGGCCAGATCAGTTCTGGTCAATTCAGTGGAGACTCATGTTCCACGTCCAACTATACAAGATGAAACCTTACCTTGATTTCACAAGCTACAAACAAGTTATTGAATGATCTTTTTAACATTGTTTGACAATAAAACTCAAACGATATCGAAGAGAAGCTCGAACGCCTTAAAGAGATCCTCCACAACACTCCTTCTCACGAGAATACAATTAAAGAAGCTACTTTGAGAAAGACTCCCGTTGTGATCCTAGAATCAGCTGGGACAATAAGAAACGGGGCTCCTCAATCAAAGGATCGATGTAATAGCAAAAAATAGAAGACTCTCCCTCCGAGTCTCCGAAGAGACTGGGGAAGTTATGCTTTATCCCCGGTTCTATGAAGAAACCTCTTAAGCTAGGTGGTTATGATGGAAAGGGAGATCCCAATTATTACATGCAACTATTAGACGAATGATTGAGTTACTTTAGTGCTTATGACGCTTCAAGAAGGCATATGCAATAATGTATTTTTTAAGAACATCTTTCTAAGCGATCATCCATTCAGTCAAAAGCTTGGGAAGAGGAATGTCAAATCTATTCAAGAGATGTTAACCATAGCTGAAACTTTTATGATTTTAGAAGAAAAATTGACCACATATTTTGATAACCCCACGTCTAGCGAATCTCACTCCAGTCACCCATCTGGAAAGGAATCTCTCTGACGTCAAGATGACTCTGACAAAAATATGCAAGAGAAGTCTGATAGATACAACCCTCTGACAGTTTTTCATGAGAGAATCTATCAAGAGTATGTAAACAACGAATTCTAGAAAGCATGAATTCAACTTCCATATCTCGCCAGGGATACTTCTTGAGCAGATAAATCAAAATATTGTTGATTCCATAAAAGTTACGACCATAACACTGATGACTGCATCAAGATGAAGGATGCCATCGAACAATTGATAAAAAGGGGCTGACTGGATGAACACGTGAAGGGAGGCAAGCGAGAAAGAGAAGATTCTCCTAGGGGTAAATTGATAACTCACATTTTGTGAGTTATTATAGTACTCTATAGTTGAATATATATTTTTATTTTCATCATTCAATAGTTTAATTGATCATAATTTTTTGTTTTAGAGTAGTTTATAAATAGAACAATAGGTGCTCTCTTTTGTTAATTTTTATGTGTTTGTTGCTTGTGTAGAGATAACTTATGATGAGGCCTGATACGAAAGTCTGGATCAATAATTTCTATCCAACTAAAAGTGAAAAACTGGAAGTAGTTGAGACTAAATAGAAACGTTAATCACATTTCTAGGACACATGTGGCAACAATATGTAGATTGAAGAATAATGAATTGATTTTGCAAATGGATAAGGGTAGGGGTATTCGCGGTTCAGTTTGGGTCAGTTTTAAAGCAAAAAATCATCTGGTCCAAAAATAAATTTATTTGCAGTTCGGTTCGATTTTGGATGATATATTAAAAAAATACAATCTGATTCGATCCAATTTTATGCGGTTTAATTTGGATCAGTTTTTAGATATCCAAATTACACATTATATTTTTATTAATATTATAAAACTACTATTAAATCATAGATTTGATATAATATATAACGTATAGTATATTAAAAGTTAATATTGTAATATGAGAGTGATCAGTTATGGTTGAAATAATAAAAATAAATAGATTATGCCAAGCTAATAAATATTATTAAAAAAGTTATTATCATCTAATAATAAATTCACGTAACATATCATACTAATAAAAAGTACATAAATATAAAAACATATGTGTGCGGTTCGATTTGGTTTGGATCAGTATTGAAAAATTAATCCGAAATTCGATCTGAACCAATTGGTTTTCACAAAGTGACATTCAAACACATCCAATACATTTCATTTTTTGTGGTTTTCGGTTTTTTAGATCGATTTTCGGTTTTTTATTTGGATTGGTTTGGATTTGAACACCCCTATATAAGGGTGAGGCGCTAGAAGACAAAATTTTGTACAATAGTACATCCACTACAGTGCCATGCTATTGTAAAGGATAACACCGCCTAATTTTTTGTGCCACCAACATGCCACATTACAACTTATCCCCCATAAGATGTATGTACCTGATTTTGCATTGTGAAAATTTGAAGAAGGAGGAGCAGTTCGTTGACCAAAGATTCTTTATGGTATTAAGAATCCTCCAAATAATAGAGTGAAGACAATTATGAAGATTGTGAAGACCAAGTAGATTATGATACTGAAGAAAATCTCAGACTTGATAAGATCTTTAGTAAAGTCATGAGAAAACTAGATTTGAGAAGTATATTATGATACTGGAGAAAATCTCTCGATACCGTGGTGGGTTGGCCATTCGTCTACCTCATACCAGGTTTTCACTCGGCTGGGAAAGAGGAACCGACCCTTGATCGAGAATGGCCCTGGTGATGTCCAATAAACTTCGAGGGAAGACCACGCTAGTTCCTAATATTCCACAGGGGTGCACTTGAGATCGCGCCAACAACCTCAAAATAAGTATCCAGTTCCCCATTTTCATTGTCACAACGACTTCCAATTAATGACAAAGGGATACCTCACAACTTTTTAAGGGGAAATGCTTTATATATGAGATTATATTAAATCACTAAGATGGCGTCATTAAGTCAATCACGAGGGAAAACTTTATAAGTCCAGGAAATACAGAGCCAGGTAATGATTATCATACACAAATACCTTAAACAAGTAATAAAGCGCATCTCATTCAATAAAGATGTATTTCTTACATATTGTTCATTATGAAGAACTATAAAAAAATTTGGACTACTTTCACAAAAGGACAATTTTCCCGCCCACGACAACTTGATCTGGTCGGATTTTCTCCCTAGAAAGTGTTAGTGGGAAATAAAAATACTCTACATGGAAAGCATTTTCAAACGACTGCAAAACTTCCTCGAAGGTGGAACTCGTACAGTCAGTTAGGTGTTGAGTTAGTGAATCATTCTGAGAATACAAGGACTATATTTCCTTATGAGCAGCCCCATGATTGCTTTGGAGAACGGCTAAAGCTCGATCTTTTATCTCCACGGTCCTCACCAACTGAGCCACATGGTCGAAAAGACAGCTAGTGAGCTTCAGGGGAGGCAAATAATTCTCCATCATGGTTCCTTTGTTTCTTGTAGGTATATGAATGCCCCTATTCAATCTTCTTAAACCTGAGGAGTTAGATTGACATGTCCGCCATTCGTGACTTGAAGGTGGAATATGATTGAACACATAAGTGCCCAGGAATTTTCACTCTCCTGTGCAAGAATAAATTCTATTGGTTGATTGTACTGGGAATGAGCTTATAGATGCTATTTGGAGAGGTGACAGTAAGTCGTCAGAGATGGGCTTATAGATGCCGTCCAAAGTAACTGTTGACTTCAACTGGAAGACGTATCAAAATAAATCTACGCTCGATTTAATCTGAGCCAGAAGAGGTTTATGTCTATTTTCAACTGGAAGAAATATCAAAATAAGTCTACGCCCGATTTAAACTGAGCTAGAAGATGTCTGCATCTGTCTTTAACTGGAAGAAGTATCGGAATAAATCTATGATCAATTTAAACTGACCTAGAAAAGAAGTATCAGAATAAATCCACACTTGATTTAATCTGAGACAGAAATATGTCAATGCTCGACTTTTAACTCAAAGAAGTATCAGAATAAATCTATGCTCGATTTAGTCTGAGCCAAAAAAGGTCTAATATCGTCTTTGACTGGAAGAAGTATCAGAATAAATATATGCTCGACTTAAACTAATCCATAAGATTTTTTACGCTCGTCTTTATTTGGAAGAAGTATCAGAATAAATATATGCTTGATTTAATCTGAATCAGAAGATGTTTACTAGAAGAAGTATCAGAATAAATCTATGTTTGATTTAATCTGACCCAAAAGATGTATATGTTCGATTTTAATTGGGAGAAGTATCAGAATAAATCCATGGTTGATTTAAATTGATCCAGAAAATGTCTATGACCGTATTCAACTAAAAGAAGTATCATAATAAATCTATGCTCGATCTAAACTGAGCCAGAAGATATCCACGCTCGTCTTTATCTGGAAGAAGTACCAGAATAAATTTATGCTTGATTTAATCTGAGCCAGAAGATGTCTGCTGGAAGAAGTATCAGAATAAATCTACACTTGATTTAATTTGAGCCAGAAGATATATATGTTCAATTTTAACTGGGAGAAGTATCAGAATAAATCTATACTTGACTTAATTTGAGCCAAAAGATACTCATGTTCGACTTTAACTGGGAGAAGTATCAGAATAAATCTATGCTCGATTTGATCTAAGCCAGAAAATGTCTGCGACCGTCTTCAACTGGAAGAAGTATCATAATAAATCTATGGTCGATTAATCTGAGCCAGAAGATATCCACACTCGTCTTTATCTGGAAGAAGTATCAGAATAAATCTATG